AGGGAGCGTTGGAGGAACCGGATGAAGACCAGTTTCATCGCGATGATGCTCATCGTGATGACGCAGCTCTCTTCTATGTGATGGTAGTTTAGATGATCGATATCGACTTGTAATGTGAAGACAAACTCGATACTCGCGGTCTCGAGACTTGTATTGTTTTATCTTTGTTCGATCTTTTGAATTCGGAGACTAATATGATGAATTATATTCGGAGACTAATCTTCTATTGTATTCAATGAATCTGCTGTTGCTGTGTGCTACTGTCTATATTCTGTCAAATAATATATTTTGTAACCTGTGCAAAAATCAGAAAAGTAAAAAAAACCTAATATTCATACTAATGACGCATCACTATAGAGTGCGCCATTAGTATGCCAAAGTATACTAATGGCACATCACCAAACAGTGCGCCATTAGTATGCCAAGTATACTAATGGCGCATCCATCTGCAGTGCGCCATTAGTGTGCCAAAGCACATGGTTAAATATGGCCCCTGGGAGGCATACTAATGGCGCATGGTGTTATATACTAGTGACGCACTGGGTGGTGCGCCATTAGTATACCAGATACTAATGGCGCACCAGTGGTGCGCCATTAGTAATAAATACTAGTGGCGTGATACTAATGGCGCATCAGTGATGCGCCATTAGTAGGCAAAATTGGTGCGTCATTAGTAGGCCTTTTCCTAGTAGTGAGAATCCTACTTCACTGAATTGCAATGCAATCTAACACCCAAAGCTGGATGCTCTACTTGACAGGCAGGTGGCCTGCCTGAAAGACACAAAAGATGCTCAATTAGCAGGAGGATCCAATAGTAAAGGGACAGTCTTGCAATCATTTATCTTTATCTTTCAACCCTGCTGGTAGCTGGACACAAGCAAAGGATTGATTTCCGTCTTTAGCAAAGCGTAAGGTAATCATCCCAATGTGAGAGAAAAACGAAAGCAAAAGGTAAGGATACTGCCTCTTGTTTTATTCTGCGTTCTAAGGTATTTGTGCACACTGATAAGCATGAAGCAGCCCAAATATTTCTTCGCAGCATGTAGCTTTTTTGCTTTACAATATTTCTGTACAACAGGCTACTTATGTTTTAGCTTGACAATGTGATATTTCTGACCATATCTGACAGATGCAGTGAAGGGCGCAAAAATTGTGTGTCGATATTTAGCAATGTTTTAAATAGCGGGCTATGGCATTTAGCGGCGACCCTTAAAAACAGCTATAGCTAGGCTATAGCGGGCTATAGCGGAGCTATAGCGCCAAATTGTACATGAAATCATTTAGCGGCAACACCCTCAAACAGCTATAGCGGAGCTATAGCGGGGCTATAGCCGGCTATTTAAAACTATGTTATTTAGTACATTTCGGAGTGTGCCTTGACAGTTCTTGATAGTGTCAATATTATATGCAGGTAACTTTCTTAAAAGTTTGTAGCAGTGTAGGAAGCATTTTCTGATTTATTATGTAGCAAAGTTAAGTAAGCATTTCAGGCTCTCACATTACATTCGAATAAAAAACTGCAATCCTTGTGAGTAGTACTTGTATAGGAATCTGTGTAGCAGATGAAGCTAAATAGTAAAATAGGATTAGTGATATTAGCCGCACCCTTGAATCTAACTTGCACCACATTCTTTTCAATGCAAGTTACACAAAAGTTGTTTGATTAGCTAGCAGCGAGATCAAACAATGGCCGGTCAGGCCTTGAATTCTTTATCTTTAAATCTTGCAGCTAAGCTAGCTACAAGCATAGAATTGATTTCTGTCTTTAGTGAAAGCAAAAGATAGTCCTCAAGGAAAGACAAAAGGCAAAGCAAAAGGTAAGGAATAGTACTGCTTGCTTTTATTCTGTCTAGCCAAGGCATTTGTGTGTAACCACAAGGACCCCGTTGAAGCATGTTGTGTGTCCAGATTTCGCTCTCCAGTCTAGCCAGCTTCTAGTTGCCCCTGTCTCTACCTAGCTACATACTCTCTGCAAGTCTGCATAGTACCAATTATTCAATATAACCAAGGTATGTAAAGCTCAGCTTACACCTGTATTCAATCAGCCTGTCTGCTTCTTCGTATCTATGTATGCTAGTTTTATCAGGACATAGATTTTCTACCCTTGAGCAAATGTGCTCTCTTTACTTTGAAAGAATAGAAGTGAGTTTCGAAGATTCAGAAAATTTCATTAACAATCACATGTAGATATTACAGTAACCTATGTATTGCAAAGTTTTGGTGAAATCTCACATGCAGTCCGAACTAAAATAGCAGTCATGAGAGGCTAAAAAGCACATTTATGTGCTCTAATTTTGTTATTTTTTGCACATAAAAATATAAAAATTTGTATGAAACTTAACAGCCGCACACAGTACTCTATGACATACACGTGTGATTTTTTATGAAATTTTGTGGAAGCACGAGAATTATATTTTTTGCATGCTCTCCTTTAGGTCATTGAGTTTTATTTTATTAATCTTGCTTGCATATCATTGCATTTGTATACAGGAATCAATCGAGCTCGAGGAATTCAGCTGGAGACTTCTAGTGAGCTGACTGATCAATGATGACCTGGAAATGGAATTAATCTAGAGGGTAGAGATTGCAGTATCTTGCCAATTCATCATGCGTACAGAAGTATGTTTACATGTACCATCACTTTTCGTTCACTTGTGCATGTTATCTTTCTTATCCAGTTCGAGCTAGTTTACAAAATATTTGGGTTATTGTACCCTCGTGGGTGCATCGATTGTGGTAAATCTTTTGTTGTAAAGTGTTCTATATCTCAGGAGTTCTGTTCATTAATTGCATCACGCTTGCGTAACCTTGCCCATCACATATTGTTTCATATATATACTACCTCCGTTCTAAAATAGAGTGCTTCCTCTATTCCCGTGCTTTAACTTTGACCATAAATTTATCTAATGAGACCGACTGCGGCGGGAGCAAAAGTTATACCAGCGAATTCGTATTCAAAAGAAGTTTTCAACTATATAATTTCTTCTCCTGCCACAGTTGGTCTCGTTGGTTAAATTTATGATCAAAGTTGGACCTCGGGAAGCGCGGGCGCACTATATTTTGGAATGGAGGGAGTACTGCTACTATGTATGTAGCTACTTTGCACTGGTGGCCACCGTCCTCACCGCTTCACATATGCATGCAGGTTATCAAGGCAAACACCATTGATGAGGCTGTTGAAGGAATTCTCGATGAACTCAAGTATACTAGAGGAAAAGAAAATGTCATATACTTTGATGGCTGGGACGGGCTGGGGGCATCTGCGGTCGTGCAAGCCGTAGCCCAACAGCTCGCATCGAATGAAAAGAAATGGCAATGGGGACTGCAGTTTGAGCAAGTCATCCACATCGACTGCTCTAAGTGGGAGAGCACAAGAGCAGTTCAGAGGGAAATCGCAGAGCAGCTGAATCTTCCCAATCAGGTGATGCAGATGTTTGGCAAGCAAGACGAGGAGGATGATTTCAATGGTATTACTGATCAGCAATCTCGGGCTGGGATAGCAGAGGTCGCAATAGAGATCCAGAGGAGCATACAGGGCAGCAGGTTTTTGCTGGTTCTTCACAATGGAAGCAACGAGGAGATTGACATATCTAGCCTTGGTCTTCCTGTATATGAATATTTGACCAACAAGGTGATATGGACCTTCCAAGGGAGGTTTCGGATGGATCCCAATATGAAAGACAAGGCCATCAAGAAGGATATAACAAATGTTCTTCTCTCAGCTTCATGCTACGAGAAAAACCCACAAGATCTCTGGTACTATCTACTGCGCAAAGAGGCTACACTAGTTGCATATAAGAGTGGTGTTGATCCTGAAATACTTGTTCAGTGCTTCTTGTATATGTTGACAATACATTGCACCAGCCGCCATTATGTCGACAGCGAGTATGATTTGGCTACCCATGCATGCAACTATTGGATATGTGATGGAATCATACAGAAAGCCACAGACATTGCTGAAGCATGGCAAGTTGGTGAGAGACTGCAAGGTGATATCCGATGGAATATGGACTACCGCGACAATGAATTTCCCTCTCGCTTTCTATGGTATGCTGAGTGCGTACCACACTGGGCATCACCAGCTCATGGATTTGTGCTGGTCCCTGATGGAGTCGTTCCTAACAGAATGTTCCAGCATTTTGACAAGCTTGGCGTGATGAAACTCTCAAGATGTAGCTTTAGCTTTTCATCACCTCCATTTCTCTGCTGCCACAGCCTTAGATTTTTATGGCTTGACCACTGTCAAAACCTAGGAAAGAGATGAGGCGCAATTGGAAGAGGAGGACACCCCAAGGTTGTGGTCATGCTTCCAAAGCTTATGGGTGCTTGACCTGCGCTACACAGATTGTGATTGGATCTTGTCTGCACGGATGATGGATCTCATGACCCAGCTCAGGGAGCTAAATGTGATGGGAGCCAAAAGCTGGGACTTTAGCCATTTACAAGGACGGTTGCGTAACATTCGCAAGCTCCGGTTAACAAAGTCCACCTGCTGTTCCGACACCAATGTGTTCTCAGATATGGAAAGCATGGAGCTTCTTGATTTTTCAGGGAATATGGTCAGTGGTTACATGAGAAGCTTATCTGGCTCAGCAAGCAACATTAACCTTGATACTGTCATTATTGGTGCCTGTGGTGGGTTAAAAATCATCTCTTTTAGGGACTGCAAAGAATTGAAGAACATATTCTTGAAAGGATCATTGGGGAGTCTTGAAGAGCTGGACCTCTCGGGCACAGGAGTGAAAACACTCAACTTCAGGGAAGTGGTAGCCACCTCACTCCCCAAGCAGATCATCCTGCTAGGCTGAGAGAAGCTCCGTGCAATATTGTGGCCTAAGACATTTGAAGGGAAAGGGTGGTCTGGTTTGCTGCATCTTGACACCACCTCAATATCAGCATCAGCTGACGGAGGTGAAGCATCACATGCACATCCCCTTAGCGATCAAGCCCTCCAACAACAGAAAGAAGAAAAGTTTAACAGTGGATGGCGGATTTCTCTTATGGATACAAGGCTCCTGAGGTCGCTTTCTCCTGTAAGAGAATTTTTAAGGGCCACATCCGTACATATTGATATCTTTCCTGCAGCTACTGTTGGTGGTTGCAACATCCAAGGAACAAGCAGCCACAAACTACTGCAAGTCCAACCGCACACAAGGACTATGGTGGACTCCATGTATGGATATGTCTTGAAGGATGGTGGCCCAGTTGGAGTGATGGTGATGTGGGACTGCCCTAAGATATTTCTTTGGGATGAACCGAAGACATGTATGATAAAGATCATTCATGGACAGGGCAACAAGCTTTTGGAGGATGCACCAAGTGCTAGCACTAGTGCTTTATTATTGCCTGGTTTTATATGCAAGCAGAGTACATCTGTGCATGCCTATGATAACTTGTCCATCACCAATATCCCTCCACCTCTCGACGGATCAGGATGGCAGAGTCTAAGATGGTGCCGAGTCGAGAGGTGCCCCAAGCTACACACGGTCTTCAATATTGGGCAGGGCAATGGTGCGTCCAGCTTTAGGCGTCTGGAGACATTATGGTTGTCCCAGCTTCTGACGGCAGAGACATTTACTACGTCAATTCTGACCTTTTGTAGCCTGGAGTTCTTGCACCTGGACTGCTGTCCCAGGCTCTTACACGTGTTCACCTTGGCCAGCAGAAATTCAGGGAGGTTCTTCTGTAGTTATTTGCAGACCCTCGAGATAGTGTACTGTGATGATCTAAGGGAGGTCTTCCCTTTGGCCCCTGGGCGCCAAAAACAGGATACAATTATAGAATTTCCCTATCTGAGGAGCATCCACCTGCATGAGGTCCCCAAGCTGCAGCACATATATGGGTGCAGGATGTGGGCGCCTATACTCGAGACCGTCAAGATCCGAGGCTGTTGGAGCCTTAGGCGTCTGCCGTCCGTCGGCCGCGACACCAAGCCACCCAAGGTGGACTGCGAGAAGGCCTGGTGGGATAACCTTGAGTGGGACGGGTTGAATAAGTACCATCACCCTTCCCTCTACGAGCCAAGCCACTCGCTGTACTACAAGGCCGAGCTGCCCAGAGGCACCATACTCAGGTGAGCTACACACATATTACTCCATCTCTCCTACTCTGCAAATAAACTTAATTTTGTGCTGAACAAATCACTAGCTTCTCTTTTCTAGAACAAAAACCAACTTATCTACTGTATCCTTTGAAAGTCCATATGTTTAATCATCCCTACCAAATGTTGGTTTATTATGCCGCAGGTAATTCACCTCTCCCGTGAATCAACCTTCGGGCTCGTCCAACCTGAATGCATGTGCGTCATCATGCAGACCTACATAACTGAAGCTTTCCTGCCGTGTATATGTTGCTTGCCCTGCTTGCTGCTTGATTGGTTTGTGGTGTTCCCTACATCATCATTGCCTTAGTGCGGTGACGCCCCTTGCAGTTTCATTTGATTTGGTTTGGTTTGGTTTTGGTTTGATTTGATTTGGCCATCCTTGCTCGGTCCATCAAAGCACTGTTCATCTGGTTGCTTTCGAGCAAATGACAAAAATAAATCCGAGTGCAGCATGAGCTCCTTCTGTGTGTGGGTGTGAGTGTTTGGTGTGGTACAGTCGGCCATCGACTGGCTGTAATATGTAAGCTTGAATGATGATGGTGATTATTGTGTATGTGGAGTTGTTTTGTTGTGGTTCGAATAATCAACTGATTGTAATTTCTAATTTGCAACATGAATGGTGATGATGATAGTGATGGTTTTGTGTGTGTGGTGTGCACAACGGTTTGGTTATAGGTTAACATTATCACTAGCGCTACCTATATCCATGTCTTCTGTTTGTTCCGATCTGAAAGATGATGACAATTTGGATGGGAGCCTATTAAGCGTTCTCGGAGTTCTGAAGGTTGTCAGAGAATTATGCTTACTTTTTTTCTTAGGGAAATGATTCTGTTCAATTGACTGATAACTCACTTGCGCCGACCGCCTCCTTCGTCGTCAGATCGTCTTGATCCTGCAGTGCGGAGTGAGCACACCGCTAGCGGCCACATCCCCCTTTCAGCCACACATCCCACAAGCCTTATCTCATTCTGTTATTCTTCCTCTCCCGTACGCCCACCCTCTCCCAAATCATTAGACGATGTTGGGCCATGGAGTGTTGCGCGGATGCCCGCCAGAGTGAAGGCGTGGCGCGGTGCCATCGTTGTTACAGATGCAGTGGGGGGATTCCACCACCACAACCTGCCCGCGCGGTCGTTGTCGAAGCCGTCCAGGTGCTGGCAGGGAAGAGCCATGCCCGGCGAGCCTAGACGTGGCCGGGGCCACGACGCAGCCATCCCTGGTTGACACGGGCTCGCAACCCCCCACCTCCGACACAGAGCGAGCCCGGCCGGAGGTCCTTTGTTGCCGGTGGCCTCGTGTTTAGAGACAGCAAGCCTCTTTGTTAGAAAAGGCCTCCTTGTTGCAGAGACCGGAGAAAAAATGATTCAAAAAGGTCTTGTAACAATGATCTTGTTGCAGAAGGCCGAGCACAACAAGGCTCCTGTTGCAGAGATCTTGAGACGAAAACAATATTTCTCGGACACCATCAATGTTGTAGAAGTCCTTCCGCAACATTATCTATGTTGTAAAAAGGTGAAAGACGAAAAATAATACTTTTGCAACACAAGCTCTGTTGCAAATAAATTTCTACAGTGCAGAGATGACACTTAAGGAAATAATGCTTTAAGCTCAAAAAACAAAGAAAACAATGCTTCGGGTGGTTTTGCAACGAAGCCTCGGTTGTAGAGCCAACAACGCAACAACCGGCTTGTTGCGATTCGCGACGTGCACGTTTGGGGAAGATCCGACGGCTGTTTTTTTTTTTGTCAACCGGACGGCCCTGAAGGCGCTCGATGTTTTTATGCTATCTGCCGGATGACGCGTATAGCGTCGCGCAACGAAGAAAAGGGGAGTAGAAAAGAAGTAGCAATTGCAAATGGGCCCGATGGGGTTTCCATGAGAACATTGTTCCTGGGCCAGGCGTTGACTATGGGCTAGTTTGGTTTGAGGCATGGACTTCATGCCTGGAAGAAAATGGAGCCTGGCCATGGCCTGGAGACATGAAAAATACTATTGCCTGGCCAGGCCTGCCTGAGTGCTATGCGTTTGGTTCGTGTCATGTGCCCTGTGTAGGGATGAAAACGGCGCAGATACGGACGAAACTGGGTGCTATCATATTTATTTTCATTTTTTTTGCAAAAGCGAAAACGAATACAGAAACCCCAGAAACAAATACGGAAATAAATACTACCGGAAATAGACACGGAGCGAATACAGAGCAGACATGGAAACAAAACGGTTCCTTGACCAGAACTTAAAACCCCGTTGAATCATAGAGAAATATAGACAAAAAACAAACAAATTTATGGAATTGTTAACATGGCTGCAAAATAATATGGTTGTGATAGCAACATAGGATAGTATTGTAGTAGTACATGACAATTCCATATAGGATCCATTGAGTACGTGTATGGTAGTAAAAGTTAGTCCTCAAATGACCCATTCCGCTCATTCTACTCATTGTGTCATTGTGTGTTGTTTGGTAGTTGGGCTACAAAGTAGCCATAGGCCTATAGCAGAAACGGAAATTCCATATTTACGGAAATGGAAAGTTCCGTTTCTACGTCTATTTCACTGGAAAACACCGTTTCGTTTTTGTTTCCGTTTCCGTATAAAAAAATTCCATTTCCATTTCCATTTTGCAAATTTTCATTTTCGTTTTCACATTTCCTCTCCGTTTCCATTTTTCCTCTGAAAAAGCGGAAACTTTCCACTCAATTTTCATCCCTAGCCCTGTGTAGCAATTATTTACATGTCAGAAATAGCTGCTGGCCCACAAGAAAAAAGCAGCCAGGCGACCGGTGCAAAACGGCTGGTCCAGGCTAACGATCGTGCCTGATGTTTCAGTCAGGCTAATGACTATGGCAGGAGCTCCAGGTCAGGCTAGTATTTCACTCTTCAGGCACCAACCAAACAATTTTCAGGCAGGTCTCAGGGAAGGTCCAGGCTAGCAATTTTTTTTGCCAGGTATTGAACCAAACTAGCCCTATGTGCGCCGAAGGGTGGTGGTTTGTCCGTGTGTCCTCTCCCCCTGAAGATAGATATCGCCGGCGGCCTCGCCGTCCAGAGCTGCCGGCATGGGGTCACCCCTCCGCGTCTCGTCGGAGGCGACGCACTCCGCCACTCCTTCGCATCTCCTCCGATGGCGCTGAGTCCGGCTTCCCTGCAACCAACCCTCGGCAGCGGAAGCACCGCCAAAGACGGCGCCGCCGGCCGAGCGGACCCCTCCTACCCTGTGCTGCGAGTCGGGGTACCTGCTTCTGCTTGCTCACTGCTGTAGCTTCCATGTTTCCATTGGCTCTGCATTTCAGTCATCCGTCGTTAGTTTAGTTTCTTGGTAAGGTGATAGATGCTACTGCTAGAAACCTGAAATCGATTTGCCCCCTCCCTTTGAGCTCCACCTTCTAGACCTGGAGTAAATCAGAGGCACATTGCTTGCTAGACCTGGCTGCAGAGTTTCGTTGGCGCTACGGAAACTACATGGTCAAGGAGAAGTTGATATTTTTGTAGCACCTGCATGCCTAACCATCCATGTACGTACTACTAATGGTGCATATCAAGATTCGTTAACAGGCTCTGAGTACAGGGGGGTTGCTTTTTTGTTGTGGGTAGTTTGCATTTCGCATAAAGTTTCTAGCAATGCGTGAAGCATTATTTGATTGATTGATTTATTTATGTAGGAGAACTAAGCATATCATGTCAACCTCACACTACATTAAAGAGCATGAAGCCTTGTAGTACACTAGCACAGCTCTTATATGAATCTGTGTCGCACATTTCTCCAGAGCTGCAAACAGATGTGTCAACCACATTCCGCTACATAGTAGTAGGGGCACAGTTTGCCCCATTAGCATCCTACCTTACTGTAACACTAGTGCAGAACCGGGTAATAGCACCGGTTCGTAAGGCCCTTTAGTGCCGGTTCGGTAACCGGCACTAAATTGTGGACACTAAAGCCCCCCCCCCTTTAGTACCGGTTCAGCATGAACCGGTGCTAAAGGGCAACCACGTGGCACGAGCCAGCTTCGTGGCCGCGTAGGACATTAGTACCGGTTGGTAACACCAATCGGTACTAAATGTTTGGGTGTGTTTTGGTTTTATTTTTTATTTTTACTTTAATGTTGTGTTTTCAATTTAATTTAGTGATTGTTTTACATTATAATGAGTTGTTAAATTATTTGGTGAATGTACCGCAAATTAGTTTGACTGGATGCGTGGATCCTAGATAAGTCATCAAGTATATGTCATATCCATATTATATATACTTTATCACCTAATTTAGTGATCGAGGTAATATGGATATGACATATACTTGATCACTTAGCTAAAATCCATCCAGTTGAAATTAATATGCAGTTTCTTTCATAAATGATATAATAACTCATCATCATCATCATATTAATATAAAAACTCTTGCATCATATATATCATCACCAATGGTTTTCATGGCAAAGATATCATCGAGTTCAACATGGTAATGATATTATAAGCGTTCATAACACCACAAAAGCAAATCACTCTGTGATCGTTCACAATTTTGCTCCAGTCTTTTACTATTATGCATTTCTCACTATTAGAAATCCTGAATGCACTAAAGTGCATTGTAGGATATCTTGGCCGTAAGCTAATAATATTCATGGTACCTTTAGTCTCGATCCAATCAGGCACAACATTCATCGGGAGTCCTTGTTGAAAAACATCGTATAGTAACATACTTAGCAATGAAGTTTAGCTTAAAAAAATAATGTATGCAAAAGATGCACTGAGGAGAAATAGTAGAAATCTTACCATCTTTCCTAAATATATGTGACCGTAGTTCAGTACGAACACTATTGGTCACACGTTTTGAGTACTAACATTTCTAAGTGCAGGAAAGAAATTTGTCTTGACAGCATCAAGATCCTCAAGCCATGAAACATAATGACTTGTCTCTTCGCAGTTTAGTTCAGCCCCGGGACAATGGACGGTCCTGTCTACCAAGCGCCGGACATGTTTGCTTGATTGGAAGTAAGCTGTCAATATAAATTGAGATCTATTAATTATTCAACTGTTTCAAATAATCTCATATCGAAGACATAAATATGGTTGAGAAATTCACATAATGATAGAACTGGAGGCGTCTGCACATCGACCCAGATGTCTCTATTACCTTCAATATCATCTTCCG